AAGCCCTGCCTAAGGGTTGTCCAAGACCCCCAAAGTTAGGACCATCCCCAAGCTTCAAAGGGGTCGATTGACCGTACATGCGGTGTTGGCTTGAGGGTCTTTTCTGATGTGGCAAGGCAAACAGACGATGGCTTTATCCGCAACACGCTGATGTCATGGGGCTTCACCTGGGAATCCACCCGACAACAAGGTGAATTGTCTTTGGTTACCCCTGACACAGGACATACTCACAATATGGGTGTGTGCTTTTTGAGGTTGCCCTTTTCAGATTGGTTCAAAGGGACACCAAAAGCCCACCATTTGGGGGGGCACCTGTAGTTTTGGCGCATAGCCGCCATCCAAAACCTACTCTGGAGCACCGCAACACCCCTGGCCTGCGGCCCTGAAACTTGGTGTAGGACCCAAGATTGTCAATACCTCAGGTAAAATGCGCACAATGAATGGAGCCTCAGAAGGAGTTCATGATACTAACATCCAAACCGCAAAGCCTACAAACACACACCCGTCAAGTCTTTATGACACTCGGGGGGCGTCCAAGCGGTCCTGCCAACGGAACATGCCCTTGCCGAGCTTGGCGCAAACGCTTGGGATCGTTGCTTGAGGTTCCAAACCAACGTCTAGCTCTGCAGTTTAGAGCCAACCCACCAACCAAACAAAAAACACAAAAACATCCAACCAAGCATCATTTAGAGCCAACACAAACCCACAAACCTCTTGGGCCTAGCCAGGCCGCTGTTGGAGACGAGCACCGAGCGGCCCAAGGGCCCAGAATTCAGGCGGCCATTCTGGGCGTCCGCGTAGCCGGCGCGCATCTGCGCCAAGACCTCCACCTGGGTCTTGGACCTCACCACGTTCCAGGACACCCTCCTGGCCATGGGGGTGTGGACCCCCCCGCCGGAGTGGCTTGCGGTTCTTTTCCCTTGAAACTTAGATGGCCATGGGTCAAAAACCATTTTACCCCCAGTGAACATCACAATCCCCACTAAAATAGATTAAAATGGGTGGTGGACCTATCCCAAAATGGTTCCATTGGTTTTGACCCACAGCCAGATCTCAAACGGTACCCCTACAAAACAAACACGCATCCATGTGTGTTTTCTTTGGGCCCTGCTCGGATGCATTTACACGGAGATGCCCATAGCCATAGTTCATAGAGTGTTTTCCGGGCTCACAGCAAGAAGAAAACAGACACTGAGGGTTTTTTAGGGACTGCCGGTTGCCATGATGAAGGGAGGCCAAAAAGGAAGCCAATCAGTCGCTCGTGAATCTGGTTGAGAACACATCATGTCGAGTAACAGGCAAGATTGCTGGCTGGTATTGGTTTCAAGGGTCCCCTCGAGGGTTGTGCATATTGGAGAGTATCGCATTTCGATAGTGTTGCATCGGTTTCTGAATTATTGTGGTACTGGAATAGTGTCAGTCGTTTGAGCATATGTGCGCAAAACAGCGCACATTGCTTGCTGCAGATGCAAGAAAAGACGCATGAAACCAACCGTCAAGTACCCTTGTTGCGCAAATCCAGTAATCCGTTCCCCCTATTAATAAAGGTCTCCCTAATAATAAATATTTGTTTCGGAAGTCCCAAATCCGGGAATACTACTTTTAGAATAGCCAATACTAAACCAATTCTAAAGTAGATATTTTCCTGCCCGTACCCCATTAGGGGGACCCCGGGGGCACGTTTCCTTTACTACGGCTGTACTACAAAGTTGCGACTTTCGAGCCAGAGGCTCCGGGAGGCACGTTTCCTATACTACGGTTGTACTACAAAGTTGCGACTTTCGAGCCAGAGCTCCGGGAGTACGTTTCCTTTGAGAACCTGCCCTCCAAAACCTGCCCTCCAGAACCAGGGGACCCCTAATAATAAAAATTGTTTTGCAGGCCGGGTATTTTTTTTATTAGGGAGGGGGGGGGGGGGGCGTCGTTTATTATTAGGGGGAAGGGATTACAGAACTACTTCGTTTCCATACCCGCTATTGGACACCAAAATAAGCAACTCCTTCAAGAAATGGGCAAGTCTAGGAGAAGCTACCAACCGTGCCGAAGGGGGGCAGGAGCGAGGACACCAAAAGGCAAAAACATGTCCTGTCTGGGTGTGCGGGACGCTTGCATGTTGCGCAGTGAGTGGTGCGTGGTGCCAGTGCCTCTGCGTGCCCACATGCCCGTGTATGTATGTACGTACGTGCGTGTGTGTGTGTGTGGGTTTGTGTACGCGTCGGATTGTTCTTGTGTTTGTGCGGTTGTGTGTGTGTGTGGGCTTGTGTCTGTATATGCGTGTTTGTGTCTGTACGTGTGCGTGTGTGTGTGTGTGTCAGACAGTCAGTGTCCACATCCAGAACAGCGATTCTCCTCTATGCAAGAAACAAGTACTAAGTACGTAACAAATATGTTAGTCCCCTTAGAGTGCCCAGCTACTGAATGTTGTCGCTGATGTTCGAAAGAACATCTCATAGGTTTCTGGAGATACGTGTAGCACGATCAGCTCCTTGGCAGCATGTAGGAGGAAATGGGATCATCATAGCCTGGGCAAGTGGTTTGCATGTGAGCCCACATGGCCTCAGTAACTAGCCGCATCACCTGGACTTCATTGGGCATCGCGTTGAGATTGGAAAGAAGGCAATCCAACAAGTTCAGAACACACTGAAAGAACTCTTGGCACACCCGACGTTTCATGGGTGGCTATGTCATTTTGCCTCCATGCTCAAACCGTCCCCAAAAGACTAGAATCACGTCGCCTTTGGCTGGCTTCCCACAGGTTGCCCCAGCCGATTGAGCAATGACAATCGAACCACATGCCGGGTAAGTTGCATTCAGTATCTTCAAATCGGTTCGGAAACATGTGGGCACCAATGTGGCACAACAGAGAAACAAACTGTCGGCTTAAAAGGGACACACTACGTGGCGTTAAAGGGACACCCATTGCACCACTATCGGCTTTCACCCTGTAGGTTGTGGCAGGGAACAAATGAGGCCAGCTATGGCTTTCAGGGTACGCCCAATGGCCCAAACAATCATGTTGTTTGTTCTAGGCACAAGGTACCCCTGCTGGAGTTAGTTTTGAGGAAACCCAAGAAGTACTTCATGCTTTTTTGGAGGCTCCGATTGCGACAAGACCCAAGTTCACTGGGGTCGCCTCCCCAAAAACCGAACTCCGCGGAGTTCCGAGTTCCGCCTGCGTAGTAGCCCAGGAGGTCCCCGAGCTTGGCGTTCACGAAGAGCCCCGCGCCCTGCTGGAAGGTCAGGCCGAAGGGCTCCACCGTGAAGGTCTGGAAGCTCTCCTAAGATCTGCAAGCGGGGCGGTAGCCCATGGTGGTTGGCTTCCGCGTAAGGGATCGAGTACCCTCCCACCTTTTTTCTTTAAACTCGGAACCTGACAGGGGGTGCATTGGAAAGGAAAATGGTCTTCAAGAAAACCCCCCTGTCAGCTTCCATGTTATTTGGTGGGAGGGTACTTACTGGTCAAAAATAGCATGAATTCCAGAGTTGGACAAAATGTGCATGGCCCAAGATTCTCACGGAATCCATGTAGATGATACCAACATTTGACGGTAAATGTGGGTAAGCATGGCATACATGGAGTGTTTGGGATTGGTTGGTTTCCCACAAGGGAGTAAATAGTGGTCAGCTCATCAATGAAACAGGGGGTTGTACCAGCAATTCTTCTCATGGGCATGATGTGACAATAAGGGACCATTTGGTAAACATGATATAGGGGTCCAGCCACTTTTGAGGTGGTTCCCAAGTAAGACTCATAGCCACATAGACCTTCGGCTAGTCATAGCTAATTAATACGTATGTAGATGCACACATATATGTATATACATGGATAACACAACTATACTTGTATTCACGATTGTATGTTACTGTGAACATGTATACACGTCGTGTTCCGCGCACATCTCCGATAACAAACATGTAGCTGTTCTAAGTCTACCTCATGCACAAGGACTGCGGAATTCATATGTTTTGTCCATTGAGAGCCTGAATGTCTGCATGCCACTACGAAGCACAATCATGGATACAAAGGTGAGAAACCAACCGGATACTGCGGTGGCTAGTGATCAAACTCACTATTGCCTGCTTTCGCAAACATGAATTGTAAGTCATTGCCTATTTAAATCTAAACGCACATGCTCAACCTTTCCTGCCTGACAGCGCCATGTCATATTGCAACATCAGGGCTTCTAAGTGCCAGTTTCTCGCATTGCACCAAACACATGATCGCTCCAGCGGATGTCGAAACACGCAGACTCCCTTGCCAGGCATCGTAGTAAAGCCGCGCATAGACCACCAGGGTGTTGGCCATGGAGGTGCACTGATTCGTGTCCTGAGACTACGAGCCTCACCAGACTAATCCGCGGAAGCTTCACACCATCCGACCTATTTGACTCTATTGACATGACATAACATTTTGCAACCAACTCATTGCCTAAAGCTTGCTGTGAGTTGTGCCAAGAACGCGTTGGCAACCCTGCAATCCTTGTCGATGCCGACCGTCAAGACTTGACAGGTGCTGGGGCCCATTAAGCTCGTCAACATCTCGAAGGGTGCAGCAGCACTTAATTAAGTGCACTCGAGCCAAGCGGCGTACTGGCGCCCATTGATGGTGCAACTCTCCTGCGAAGAGCCGATGGTCCCAGGTCACTTTCAGGCCGGTAAAACAGCATTTGTGATAGGCGAGAATGTCCAGAAAATCAGACGATGGAGAGCTCTGTAAGGCAGGTTTCCGAAATCGGATGTGCAAAGCTCTATGAGGCAGAAGGGATTCGGTAACTGGAAAATATGCGAGTGGCATGGACTGGATTTTGCTTCTTGCCGATGCGCATCGCCAACAGATCATCAGCGCAACCACACACATTAACATGCAGGAATCAAAGGTTGCGACCTCCGCAAAGCAAAAAAGCTACAACACAGAAAAAAGAAACACTGGTCTGTGCAGGGAGGCTCTTCTTGCTGATCGATTTCCCCAAAACCGGCGGATGCCCCGAATCTTGCAAGAAGAGGCGAACCCCCCACCCAATTTTTCAGCCTTTGTTGGGGAATGTTGTGCTTGGATGTGGCTAATGAACATTTCGTTTCCCTTTAAACCCACTCCAAGGGCACCAACTCGGGTACGCACAAAAAAACATATGTGTTGACTCTGTTCCAGCTTTACGCCCATAGTATGTATATACATACATGTGTATAAATATATATATATATAAATATTAATTGTGCGAGGAACCCCCAAACTCCACCCTTCGAGGTTCCCCCGTCCTGCGCGTCGAGCACTGCTTCGAACAGGCTCCGGGCGTTGTCCTTGGCGCGGAACCCCGCCTGGCCCGGGCTGAACTGCGCCAAGAAGTCCTCAGATCGCGCGTGACGTATTTCGAACCCCATGGGTTCCTGGCCATAAGATTCACAAGAGATGGCACCAGTACTTCAGCGACTAGAATTTCCTTTTGGCATCTCTTATGTGGCACCAGTCCTCAGATCAGATGGCACCAGAACTTTGAAGTGGTCCACTCAGTCACTATCATTTCCTTTTGGCACCAGTACTGCAGTGACTATATATGGCACACTGCTCAGTGACTATCATTTCCTTTCGGCCCACTTAAAGGAAATTGCGCCATGTTCTTTCCTTCTCCCCCGGTATTCATGCCCAGCCACAGCCCCAAAATCGTTGGGCCAGGAGAAGGAGAGCAGCTGTCCCCGCATGTAGTCCTCCACCTCGCATCAGGCGTGCATCAACTCGGAACAAGACAAACACGCAGCACGAGCAAGAATCGGTTCGGTAAGAGCAGGCGGCTCAACTTGCGTTGGACAAACGAAAAGTTCTTGACAGCTCTAATTATACACAAGCTATGCGTGTTGTCTACTCACCCTGAAGTATTCAATCCCTTTGACCTCAGGAATCGGCCTTTTCTTGCGCACAGCGTGTCGTGCAATCACTGCACACTCAAGCACACGTCGTGTGGATTTGTCTTGGAACGCACACTTTGGAAAACAATGGCCTGAAGTTGCTTGGCGCTGTTGCTCCTGGCCAAGCTAGAGTTGTTCCTGATGTGACTCCAGTGCTTCAATGTGTTGCCCATCCACGAGGTTTTGCCATCAGTAGTTCAAGATTCTTAAACAGTGCTCGACACACACTATGTTCAACCAGACTTACCTAAAAGGCATCCAGTGATCCACTTGGAGCTTCAATGCTACTCATTAAAAGTCTTAAACACTTAGAATGGGAGTGTGGGTACCGGAAAACTAAACTTGGTCACAATTCTGGGAGTATCTCATTGTCTAACTATATTCAATTTACAGCATAATTCTTTAGACCCCTATATTGCGACTCCAAACAGCACCTGCCTCACACATTCAGAAGAAAAGCCACCCACGGTTGCTATGGGATGGATTCAACAGGTTGATCTACCTTTCAGGGATGGTGCGGACATCCAAGTTCCATGTTTCTCCCGCAATCCTGTCTGTCTCAAGATAGGTCACCCCTTTCTCGCAGTTGTTTAAAGGGGCAACAACAGCAAACCGCCCCATTTTGGGGACCTCCTCATTTTGACAGCGGTCCCCGAAAAATTGGTTCGTTTCCTTTTGGCTTCAGAAACCAGTAGAAACCCCCCAGTTAGCCAGCCAGCTCGCGAGCCAGGCGCCGTGGTGGTGGTGGCATTGAGCCGCTCTAAGCCCAGTGGGCCCCACACCACCACCACGATGTAGTCCTCGGATGAGGCTCGAAGGTCACAGGCGGTGTGGGGAGAGCGTCCGAGTGGTTCTTGGTTGAAGTGAGGTGCTTCGTGCGTCGATTGTTTTGTTTTGGGGAGGGGAGTGCGTGTGTGTGTGTGTGTGTGGTGTGTGTGGTGTGTGGTGTGTGGTGTGTGTGGTGTGTGTGTGGTGTGTGTGGTGTGTGTGGTGTGTGTGGTGTGTGTTGTGTGTGTGTGTGGTGTGTGTGTGTGTGTGGTGTGTGTGTGTGTGTGGTGTGTGTGGTGTGTGTGGGGTGTGTGGTGTGTGTGGAGTGTGTGGTGTGTGTGGTGTGTGTGGTGTGTGTGGTGTGTGTGGTGTGTGTGGTGTGTGTGGTGTGTGTGGTGTGTGTGTGGTGTGTGTGGTGTGTGTGGTGTGTGTGGTGTGTGTGGTGTGTGTGGTGTGTGTGGTGTGTGTGGTGTGTGTGGTGTGTGTGGTGTGTGTGGTGTGTGTGGTGTGTGTGGTGTGTGTGGTGTGTGTGGTGTGTGTGGTGTGTGTGGTGTGTGTGGTGTGTGTGGTGTGTGTGGTGTGTGTGGTGTGTGTGGTGTGTGTGGTGTGTGTGGTGTGTGTGGTGTGTGTGGTGTGTGTGGTGTGTGTGGTGTGTGTGGTGTGTGTGGTGTGTGTGGTGTGTGTGGTGTGTGTGTGTGTGTGTTGTGTGTGTGTGTGTGTGTGTGTGTGTGTGTGTGTGTATGTGTGTGTGTGTGTGTGTGTGTGTGTGTGTGTGTGTGTGTGTGTGTGTGTGTGGTGTGTGTGTGTGTGGTGTGCGTGCGTGTGCGTGTG